CAAGGTATGGAGGGGATTTTGGATGATCACATCATTAGACATGTGCGATTCCTTTAGTTCCGAATCGAAATTCGGACGAAATGTTGGAAATACGAGATTCGGTTCTATCCGAATTCCGAATTACAGATATAACGGTTGCAAATGAATCCGAATTTCCGATTCCGAAATTCGTTAGCGGTAGTCTGCACGAATTGTCGTTTCGTTGTCGCTTCGTTCGTTCGTTGCATATGAAAAGTATTGTGACACCTCTGCTCACAGACCCGAATGGCATTCGGGAGATCACAGGAGGATGCCAATAGCAGAAGATGTCATTTTGTCACGTGTTTTCCTCGGGTTCGGACGGTCGTCGTGTGGCTGGACTTTTTTTATTTCAGCGGGCCGGCGGGCATCATGCATGGTGATTGCCGCTGGATTACATCGATGGAGCCATTTTTTTTTTTTAAATTAAAGGAATAGTCAAAGATTGACTGACAAAGATTTCAATTAAAGGATTTTTTTCTAAAAATGTGGTTTGTTTATTTACTTTGAATGTAACCCTTTAGTGAATGAGTAGGGCTACAAGTACCCCTTACTATTCACAAGGGGGGGGGGCGGCATCTCTGTCTCCCTAATTAAAGGGGTACCCCAATGCAAACAAGCCCCCTTGCCCGCAGACCCTCACAACCACCGGGTCAGGGTTTTGGGGGAGAGACCCTTGTTCCCATCGGCATGGACACCCACCCACCCAATGCCAAGGGTACGTGGCCTGGTAAGGCGCAGTCAAGCTGGTAACGAATTGATGAGTTCGTTTGTCATCTGTTTTGCTTGACTGTTTTGGTGCAGTGATGCATGGGGGGTCTCAGCTGCCATTGGGATGTGCGGGATTCCTTGTGCGTCTCTGTGCCTTTAAGGGGGCTGTGCTTCCTCCTGACAAACCTGCACCCAATTTTATCTTCTGCCCCATGTGCTCCAAGATGGAGGATCTGATAGTTTAGAGTTAGGACCGCACTATAAGAGGTGCTTTGGCGCGGCTGTGAGGCTTTCACATTTTCTGCAAAAGACGTGTATCCAAACCTCTGTTTTTAACCTTAGTGTGAGAGAAGTTTTTTTACATGCTAGCTTGTGAGTGTGCCAGGAAAAGTTTTTGCTATTTTACTGGTAAGGCGCAGGGCGCTTGATCGTCCCCCCCTTTCCTGCCCTGCCGGGCCTCTGCTCGGATCAAGGGTCTGGTAGGAATGTTAGGGGGGCACCCCTTGTTTTTTCCCCCCATTTTGTGGGGCTGGTGTTCTCCCTTAAAATTCCTACCAGACCTAAAGGGCCTGGTATGGATTTTGGGGGGAACCCCACACACTTTTTTTTTTGGTTTTAACTTGGTTGGGGTCCCTTCTAACATTCCTACCAGACCTAAAGGGTCTGGTATGAATTGGGGGAGAACCTCATGCTTTTTTTTTTTCCTCTTCAGCAGACTGAATTTTTTTTTCTCTCAAATGTCACTTTGCTGCAACGAACGAAACGACAATTCGTGCAGACTACCGCTAATGAATTTAGTCCGAATCTGAATCCCGAAACAAATTGACTTTCGGACCCAAATCCCGAAAAACAAAATAACACAAAGTCCGAATCAAAACGAAACTAAACACATTTTTTGCCGGTGCACATGATGTCTCAACGAATGTTGCAAAGTCATCTATACCCACCTATCAGACTTATCTGAAACTACTTGCAGACATTGCTACTCCAGTTCTTCCAAATTCCCTATTCAACAGGTGCAGAACTACCGCCGGTGCAGCGGGGCCTGAGCCTGGGGGGACCCAGCAGACCCAGGCAAGGTAGGACAAGAGATGGTGGTGGTGGTGGTGGTGGTGGGGG